GAAGCAAATATTTTTAAAGGCCGTTAAATATAAAGGAATTGTTACAGAATAGACCCCTATCTGTGGAATTTCAACGATAAAAAATTAAAAACTTCCATTTGATACAGAGTCTAATTGTCATCGAAATTTTATTATTACCTAGATTACTTTTAAATGTAAACGTTTGGTGTCACCCAGTGGCGGCTCTTGCCTTAGCACATAGGTGGATTAACATTTTCGGATGCCTAGCCCAGTTTTGACTCGAAGTCGTTAAAAAGCATATATTGGGTAATATTTTAAAGTATATTAACGTGCGCATTTATCATTTTTATAAAATAATAAATATCAAAAAAAACTTAACAGAATTTAGCTTTGAATAGTAATTTATTGCACTCCAAACCTATACAGTAATATAAAGAATATTTTACATTGAAACGATATTTGAAGTCTAGTCTTCGTACTGTTTTATTAGCGAAAAGGTCTATTAAAGTCGTCAATGTTATTTAGAAACACTTTTTCAGCGCACTTATCTTTCTTCTTTCATCAAGTTGCGTAAAAAAGTTTTTATCCTCTTTAACCTAGAGAAACATCTTTCAGCTTCGGATGTTGACATAGGTGTTGTCACTAAAACAGTAATTTAATAGTTTCTTGAAAAGTGTACTTCATATCTTCCTGCGAAACTAATGATAACAGAGGAATGGCTCCAGAAATGGTTTGCAACTCTTCTCTTTCGTAAAGCACTTGCAGTTCTGTTCTTAAAAGATTTTTTTCTAGAAATTGATATATGCGTTAACTGTATCAGAGAGCAATTGATCAGTAAAGTTTTTTTGGAATCCGATAAAATGTTCTTTCATGAATAATGCGGTAGCTATCAGATGTCCTGTGAAAGTGAATCGTGTCCTAATCTGTTGTATAATGGAATCGCAAACTTCCAAGGCTTTTATTTTTCTATTTGTTGAAACAAATAGATCGGAACGAAGCCGCCACCCTACGAGAAGTCGTTGCTTCGTTTTCTTCTTGTATATTTTCTTTTTTTTAATCCCAAAACACTTCAAATGCGTCATTTGAATGACATCATGTCTAACGGCATTTTAGTACACGACCGTTTAACGGCAGTTTAAGTACAGCCGTTGTTTCATAGAATGCAGATAAGCTTGCTTACTGATTCCAGAAATAAGAGAGGCCTCATGCATTGGTGCCTAAATCAATGAGCTTTTGTAGCGTACTTGTAGGTTACAAAGGCGAACAGAGCACTCCGGTGCCGTCATATAGGAGGATGTGTAAATATGCAGCCGGGCCACTGGTCGATGTGCTCGGATAGACGGCGGGCAGTCAATTGCTTGAATTATTAAATTTGTTGTGTCTAGGAATAATACGACGCAATTTTTTCCAACGGGATCAAAATAAATAATGATAAATAATTTATATAATGTATCGTTTAGGCATAATTTGATCCGACAATTGTAATAATTATTGTAATTAATATAAAAATAAATATTTTTAGAGACCGAAATATTTACAAATTTTGCGCCAATGCCAAGGCCCTTTGGCCGCTTAGGACAAGCCGCCACTGGTGTCACTTAATCTTTCAACCACTTCTGCTAAAAGGATAACCAATACAATAATTCTTTTTAAATATATGTCGGCGGCGCTGATGTTTAACTATTATTTTGTTTATAGTTTTAAGAAGTTTGATTTATTGGTAGTCGGTATATTTCAATAATATAAGTTGTAAGCTTCTACTTGGTTTTTATAAGTGATGACTTAACAAAATGATACACACTTGCCTTTCTTAGTGAGGGGCAAGGAGGGCGGAACGGAGCCAGCAGGATGTTGATAGAAAAGAAGGAATGAGAACAGAGATCAGAGAAATGTGATCGATCGGGCTGTGATAAGCTGGCTCCGGATCGCTAGTATCATTTCTTTAATTGATTAATAATTGATATCGTATTATTATCCGTATTTCTTTAATAATTATTTGTGTAACGTTGTTTAAAGTGTTGTCAACATTGTGTATTGTTCTATATTGCATTAACAAGTTTTACAAGTGTTAAATGTAGTGTTTTGTCATAACAATGTCTGACGGTGACGCCCTAAATATCCGATATCAGACATATACTAATATGAAAACCGAGAATCTCAGTGCAGGCACGTTCAAATTTCTGTAACTTTGAACCGCAATTTTCCGGAACCTGCTGGTCAGAAGATAATAAATGAGGGTACCATTGGAAAGAGAATTAAATGCCCTATAAAATGATGTGCTTTGATCCCCACTTGACCCCTTTTCCCGTTTAAGGGCAACATCTACCTCTCCTAAGAGGTTTCGCCACGAGTGTTAAAAGTATTCATTGTAGGCGTCCTCCTTGAAAATAAAATTGATGGGTTTTTGAGATTTTTCAAATTATTTACTGGAAGGAAGATATTCAATGTTGGAAGTTTTCGGTGTGTCACCCTGTATTAATTCAGTAATAATGAGATTTTGTTGTAATAAAGCAATTTTTTTATCATAATTTTAAGAATATAATACATTAAACGATGCAATTATCAAGTCGCTTTTTTCTTCGTTTTAAGAACTATAATTATACTCTTAAGTTGAGTGTACCTATTTATTTAGATTCGTAGTTGGGTAGTTAATAGTAAACATTTCCAGAATATTTATTAATGCAGTTGTCGTAGGCTGTTGCATGCCTAACTTATGAATACGGTTAGTAGCAATCAATATTTGCACATGTAACAATTTTACCGAATCATTTTTAAATAAATCAAATAACAAAATCCTTATAAATGATAAAAAATGCATCATGCCATCATCGGAAAGAATTTAAAATTTTCACAGGCATTTTAGGCGATATTAGCGAGTATTCTGTGATTTTACAAGCATGTTAATATTTTTGTTGCTAAATAAATCAAATAATGTTAATTAACAGCAATCAATTGCTTTACCGAAGTCCTAAGTGGCTGCAAATTCAGCTTTAGATCTTAAATATTGAAATGAAAACGATATAAATTTGCAGCTACGTTACATTTTTGACCGCACAGCAATTCATTAATTACGTTTTTGACAATTTTGCCGACCTTATATCCTGTTGCAAAATTTGTATGTCTCTATTTACTGGCCTAAAACGTCTATGTTTCACTACTATTATATTATTGATCGATCTCACGATCGTCTTTACTACTTCCGGTTTTATATGCGTATTTCTATTTTTTTCTAGAAATGTTTTTATTGTATTTTATATATTTTATTCTTTCGTTGGTTTTCTTGGCCTTTTTTATTTTCTTAAAGAATACCTATGTATTTATTATTTATATTTTGATTCCAGCTTTTATCATTTTTGCTAACTCAAAATTTATTCGATTGTATTAACACAGGTTTACCCAAACCAATTAATGCCTTATATTAGTGCGACGTAATTTTGATTCCATTGACAGTTAATTTTTAACCAAACTTTTAACAAAAACAAACCATTCTGTCATTGAATTTGACATATACTTTTTTACTGTTTTAGTTTTTTTAAACTATCGAAAAATGTAAAAGGAAATAGATAAATTTGTGACTAAACGATTATGTACTTGATGCATGTTATTTACTTACTATAGGAATATATTTATGAAAGTTCAATAACTATATACCTATAGGTACCTATTTAGGTTAAAAAAGCACTCAAAAAGTCTACTGTTACTGCTTCTGTCACCGTAATTGTACAACCAAAATTATATCAATATTGATTTACTGTAGGTATGACAAAATTAATCTATAAAGTCAAAATTGTGACAAATTAAAATATTGAATAAATATGTCATTCAGCTCTATAAGATTGTACCAACCATCATGTCTAGTTCCCCTATGTATTGATCTTTTGTAAGTCAATGGAAAACATTTTAACCTCGATTTTAACATACAATAAGGATCCTACATTTTAACCCTAAATTTGCTATAATACCTACAAGGGAAAGTTATTGAAAGATTATACCTAAATAAACATTGGGTCAATATAATCTATCTAATAGGTATTTAAGTGCCTCCGAATACAATATTTAAAAAACGTTTGAAACTTTTTTTCTCAAATTAATTCATTTCATATATCACCATTATCTACTGATACCTAACTGATAAAACAATATATTTTTTTGTGTCTGACAATGCGGTAAACGGATGGATAGGTCAAACCTCTCGTTTAGTGTCTGCTTTTGAGGAAACTAATATTAACTAATCAAATAAGTCTGTTTTAGTACCTAATATTTTAAATTACGTTCTCCAACCAGTGGCAGGTAGCACCTCAACTCTAATTAACTTTAAAAACCGCATAGAACACTGTCTGTTAGCGAACCGAACACTATTAATTACACAGGTAATTTTTAACGAGCAACGCGACTAGAGCATGACGAAGAGCGGAGTTTGCTCCCAAGACAGATGAATAGCGACTGGAGACTGAACTCAATGTGAACTATGAGCGATACTTCCGCCTTTACGGGGGAGGTTTTACACAGACTGTCCTCTTCGATTTCCGATACGAGACACCCACATAAACACATGGTTTATCAAAAAGACTCGGATTCATTCTACATTTTGACAGGATCGAAAAATCACGGCCAACTATTCTACTTCACGTTTCACGAAGGTATTTGACCAGAGTCACGCAAACAAAATAGTAGTTAACTATGTAAACAAAACTTGAACCCCGTTCCGATGTCACAACATGAGCACGGGTTTGTGGTTAGTCAGAAAAACTGACGGGTGTCTTGATTTAATTTTTATTTTATAATTTAATTTCTGCGTTTTACGGTTAATTAAAAAAGATTTAACGATTTCGAGATCGTTTATTAGCACAGTACGTGGTTAAATTGTTACTGAATAGTAAAGACGAAATAATATTTAAACAAATTTAGAGAAAAATAATATATTACGCAACAGTGTTTTAAAAGGTACCTACGTAGGTACTTAAACCTTAATGGGTGGGGTTGACGTTTGCAGCACTTCACAATCGTAAATAAATACATGAAGTTTGACATGTACCTACCGTAACTTTATAGTTAATTTTTCTATTGGGTGTAGAGTTGTCCATACGAACGGCCATAGTTATTATCACAGATGAGTTGAAAATAGGGGTGTGTCTATGATTATTTAAGTATTAAATGTCATGGCACACTAAGATGAGGTCATTTCACGGCACTTGTTTGTATTTTTTTAGGGCCAAGCGGTACGAGGGAGCCCTACTAACCGGATCGCCGGCACTTGTTTCTACCGCAACTACAGTTTTCATTCGCCACTCCCCTCGTCAACCGGACACCATCTTGGTTATCTAGTGTCTATGGTTCGTCGGACCGCCGCCAGAGTTTACGCCGGCGCTCTTCGGAAATATTTCGATCTCTAATAACGCCGGTTAGTAGGCGTGATGGAAACCGCTATCCGATGATAGTCTCCGTATATAACTTCGACGTAGCTCTGTTGCCGTGCATCTCGAAATTCAATTGCATCTGAGTACATTCATGATTTAAGGAGGTCAGCATCCGACGTAGCGTTTTACTGGAACTTTTTCACATTATAAACATGTTTTAATTGTAAAATACGTGGCAATGATTATACCACCGTACATATACATACAGTGAGGTACAGAAGTAACGGATAAATTTATTTACGATGCAATTAATAATTTTAAGAGAAAATCTAAAATTATTAACATAACAACTTTACTCAGCCTAACTTCCTTTGGAAACTAACCCTTTAAAATTTTTAAATGAAAAGGGGGCATGTATCACCGCATTTTAAAGGGGTTTTAAATCTCTTTTCAGCAGCTTAGTGGGTTTTAACTTTTAGATAACTATTTAAAAAGAAAATTAAAATGATAAATCCATTCAAAAATAGTTACTTGTGTGCCAAGGCCGTAAAGTTGATCTTTTTTGGCCGAATCAGAAATCTGCGGCCGAGGAGTAGCCCAGGCTAAGCAACTTCTGGGCAGGCCAAAAAAGATCATACAGCCGAGGTGCACACAACATTTTTAGGTGACTGTCTCATAGTAGAGCCAATATTTTTTTGACATTCTTGTTTTTGAAAAGAGGCTTAAATGCAGAATTTTTTAAAATTTCTATTGATCAAATAAAAATCCATCGTTAACTAATAAAATTTGTACAGAATTACTGACGATAAGTATGATTGATAAACTTGCGTTTATAAACAGCGGTCGTAAAATGTGACCAAAAAAGTGATACTTTAAAGCGGCCCTAAAGTAAATGCGGCCAAAAGAGTGATACCTTAGGGACGTTAAAAAATCCGTAAAATGTCATTTTTTATGACAGTCGCGTAAAAAAACCTGTAAGAAAACTAATTCAGAGCAACCTGGGATACTTATAAAACAATATACACTGCTCAACAATTGAAATGAATAATTCTGATTGTCTTGAAATTTAAATTTTAAAATGTTAAAATATTCGGATGTATTCTGTATATAGCGGGTAATTGAATCGGTTGCAAGAGCATCCTTAAACATTACAATTGGCTTATGAGTTGAAAAACAAGTCAATTCTAATAGCAGGTACAGTGTATACAGGGTGGCCATTTGAAAACGAAACAGCCAATGTTGGGCACCCCAGATCATTTACGAAAAAAACTTTCGGACCCGTAAATTTTTTATTTTGGGGGGGAAACATTTTTTTTGCCAGTTTCACCCCTTGAACGAAAATCCTCTAGCGATGGTGAGACTCACCCCTAAAATCTTAAATGGAATGAGGGGTCGATTGATATCTTATTTTAAAGTTATTTTTGCCTAGATTATAACCCCCGAGTTTTACATCGCTACTATCTACGTAGCCCATACAGTGGCTCATCAAAAGTACAAAGTTCGTTTAACATAATTTTTTCATTGTTATTAAAAAAATGAATTTTTTGTAACAATTCTAGTTTTATTCCTGTGGCCTTCGATTACTGTTATCAGATGACATTCTTTGGTCGCCGTAAAGTAAGGTTTAGTTTATTTCAGTGATATATGGTTTACTCAATTGCTGAGAGGTTGCAAATAATTTAACTTTTTTTGCGAACAATGAATGTGCGAATAGAATTGCCCAACTTTTTAATAACAATCAACATCAAAATCGACAAGTCCATCGTAAGTATATTTTGGAGTTAGTCCAAAAATTTCGGGAAACGGGGTCAGTAGCTAACAAAAAACGTTAAATGGAAAATGCTGTAGTAAATGAAGCTACCGATGTGGCATGTTGATCAAGATCCCACATTGAGTACAAGACAGTTGGCGATAACATCTGGTATTAAGAAAAGTACCTAGCATTCAGAAGACATTGAAAAAACGCAAGTTACATCCTTACAAAATACATCTGGTACAAGAACTTAACGCAGACGATTTTGATAGGCAATATGTTAAAGAATAAAACTAAGCAAATTCCACCCACTTTGAGCGATGTTACTAACCTCAATAACTACTACCTTAATTCATTGCCTAATATAACCCCAGACATACAAAAAATGGAATATTACAAAAATCATATATTACCTGAAAAAAACCTTTAAAATTGAATGTGTAACACATTCGGATGTAGCTAAAATCACCAGAAAAATTAAAACTAATGGCGATGGGTATTGACCAGATAAATTTATTAAGAATGATAGAACTTTGTTGTCCACAGATAATTCCATATATTACAGATATTTTAAATACGTGTATTCAGAGCGGGGTTTTTCCTGATATTTGGAAGCAAGCTTTGGTGCTGCCTATTCCAAAAAAGTCAAACCCAACAGAACTAAAAGATTTAAGGCCAGTTAGTATTTTGCCAACTTTTTCAAAAATTCTAGGAAGAATAATAGAAAAACAATTGAGGGAATTTTTAAATCAAAATGAAGTTTTACCTTACCAACAGTCAGGTTTTAGACCTCTACATAGTTGCGAAACAGCCCTGTTAGCTATTACGGATGATATTTTAAGAGCCACTGATGAAAATATGATTACCTTACTTATACTTTTGGATTACTCAAAAGCCTTTGATACATTGAATCATGAAATGTTAATAGCTATTTTACATTATGTTGGACTAGACGACCTTTCCTTAGAATTCTTCAAAAGCTATGTAACTAATCGTTCCCAATGTGTTCAAATACAGGAATATGTATCTACGCCTCTTAAGTTATCATCTGGAATAGCACAAGGGCCTATATTTTGGACCACTACTATATACCATATATACTTCTAATTTTAGAAAAGTTGTTACTAAAACAATACATTTCTATGCTGATGATACTCAGATTTACTACTCCTTTAGACCCACTGATATTCAAGATGCTATTGAAACTGTAAATCATGATATCTATAAAATTGTTGAGGAATCTAAAAGTCACTCTTTAAAAGTAAATGGAGAAAAAACAAAGTTATTGTGTTTTGGGGGAGGAAGGAAGTACTCTGAGCTATTAAGTAGCATAGAAATTGATATTGATGGATACAGTATTACACCATCGGGAGAGGCAAAAAACCTCGGCCTTACTTTTGACACTATTCTAAGATTTAGAAAACACGTTACCAACTGTTTTAAAATAGGATACGCTAATCTGAAAATAATTTACGGCAATCGACATTATCTAGATAAAATAGTAAAGAAAAATCTTTGTGAGGCGTTAGTATTATCTAAACTTAATTTCTGTGATAGCGTATATGGTCCGAATATTGATAACCAGGATACACGAAAAATTCAAGTATTACAAAATTCTTGTGTCAGATTGATTTGTGGGATACGCCGCCGACAACCTATTTCCAATAAATTAAATCAATTATCCTGGTTGAACATGTCTAATCGCAGGCAGCATCACTCCTTGTGTCTATTTCATAAAATAATAATAAATAAATGCCCATTATATTTGTTTAACAAAATAATATACCGTCATAACATACATAATCTAAATACAAGACATAGGTTCAGACTTAATATACCCTATCACAGAACCGAAACTTTCAAGCGTTCTTTCATTTATCAAATAGTCAATGCATACAACTCCTTACCAGATCCACTTAAAACTCTACCAATGATCACATTTATGGTCAAAGTTCGTAATTTACTATTTTCTAAGCAATTATTACGTACCTAGGTTCTTTGTGTTTATTGTTATTTGTAGTTAGCAAATGAATTCAGGCTTTGGGAAATTTTATTTACTTTTATTTGCTTTTTACATTTTTTGTTTTTTTTTTGTTTTCAAGGTTAGGTTGAAAAACAGAGGGTGAGCTATGCTTATGTTTAGTATAACTCACTCAGCTGACACCTCGCCTTTTTTTCACAACATTATTAAATATGTATTTTTAGAATATTGTAAATATATTTTAATTTTGTTTTATGATGTGAAAATAAAGACATTATTATTATTATTATTATTATTATTATAATTTTGTGACTGAACGGGCAATAAATGATCAGCCCATACTTTTCAACGTGTTTTTCTGACGAATGTACGTTTTTCCTAAATGGTACGGTAAATCGCCACAACTGTCGTTATTGGTTCGATTCAAATCCCAAAATATTTTATAAAATATATACGCAACATCCAGAAAAACTGAATGTTTGAGCTGGTATTTTTGATAACCGTATAATCATTGGCTCCCTTTTTTACCCAGAACTTTCACCGCAGAAATATATCTGGAATTATTAGAAAACGCCATTTATCCAGCATTACTAGAGTTGATTGAGAATGACGATCAGTACATAGCAAACAACTTAATATTCCAGCAAGACGGTGCGCCACCCCATTTTGCACTGACTGTTGGTCAGTATTTGGATCAAACGTTTCCATGTCGATGGATCGGAAGAAGAGGAAGTATTAAGTGGCCCCCACGGTCTTCGGATCTACTCCAGTTAGAATTTTTTATGAGGACACTTAAAAACTAAAATTTATGCCACCCAGCCAACATCACTGGAAAATCTGCGACAACGGATAATTGATGAATATCATCAAACCACCCCACAGATGCTTCAAAATGTCCGAACAAAATTTATATTATTGCTTGGAGGCCCAGGGTCAGCATTTACAGCATTTACTCGAGTGACGTAAGCATTTAAAGAAAATAAAAATCATTAAAAGATTATGGCTAGGAAGACAGTAGCGATTTAAAACTCGGGGGTTATAATCTAGGTAAAAATACCTTCAAATAAGATATAATTCGACCCCTCTTTGCATTTAAGAGTTTAGGTATGAATCTCGCCCCCGCTAGAGGGTTTCCGTTCAGGTGAAACTGGCAAAAAATGTTTCCCCCTAAAATCAAAAAGTGACGTGCCCAAGCGTTTTTTCGTAAATGA